TTAGTAGGCACTCAGTATGTGCTGAGTATGGCTCTCATTGCCCTTCTAGAAGATTTTCTTTAGCTCATGGGTATTCAAGCCAGTAGACTTGTTCTAGCTCCCCTCGAATCTGGGCTCCATGTTGAGGAGACAGGGATGCATCTCTGTGTTGGCCCCTGTCCAGTCCTGTGAATCATAGCAACTCTCATAAGTTGGAGCTCACAGAGAACTGGAATCTGAGACCAAAGAAGGCAAAATATTTCCCGTTCCCATTCTTGCTAAGTTCTTGAGTTATTGATGTAATGGAAACAGTCCTGGGTTCAAATGCAGGCTCTGCACTTGCCTGCTCCACGCCCCTGCCTCTTTCCACCAGGGAGAGGACTTGGGCCGTGGGGAAGGGTCAGCGTGGCCGTTTTACTCAGTTGCTGGACCACCCGTCCTTTCTCAGGCTGTCTCCTCACCTGTGAATGGGGCAGCAGTTCTCTTGTAGGGTTGTGAAGATTAGGGAGTAAGGCATGTGGTACAATCAGGATGCAGCGGCAGAAGCGAGTGGTCTGCAGCCCTCACATAAGCCATTCATTCATTCAGGGCCTTGGCAATTTAGGTTGAGCAAGTGGTCCCAAGTTTGAGTTATTTCTCCTTCTCCCTCCCCAGCGGGAGGGCAGCCAGGTGAGGTGGCTGTGGCTGCCCTGCCCACAGGCCTGAGCAGGTATGGGGGAGAGCCTTGTGCGGCAGTGGAGGTGCCAAGTACCACCTAAACCCAACCCCACTGCGCCCGGCCGCCAAAGCCCCTGGCGCTAACCAGTGTTGCTTCAGCTGCTGGTAGTTAATGCTCCTTTACTTGGAAACGGTTTCAGCTCCTGGGAGCCATAGCGGGCAGCGAGGGCTCACTACTCAGCCCCTTGTCCCCCTGCGACTGGGGTCTGCATGCACCCTATTCCCAGCCTAATTTACCGCCCTTCAAGGCTCACCAGGCTGTGGGCCCAGAGCCTACGTGGGGATAGGGGAGTGGGGAAGGCGGGGAACTTTTCCGGGAAGGGGCCCCGCAGGGTCTTGGCTGGCGGCCCTGTTAGCCACAGCCTGGGACCCCAGGGTGGGAGGGTGAACGGAAAGGTACTCGTGTCTGGAGCGGATGCAAAACCCTCTGTCATGAGGAAGACGCTGAGCTCAGAGGCGCTTGGTCGAAGGGGCCGTCTCCCGCGCCCTCCTCTCAGGTGCTGGGGCCGCCAGGGGTGCAGTTCCACAGCGGAAGGCTGGGAACTAGGAAGCGTTGCGGGCTAGACCGCCCGCCTTCGCGGCCTCCTGGGGTGGGGGTACGGGGGGAGGCGTGGTACGGCGGGCCCGCCAGGGCGGAGACGGGGAGAGGGTCGGTGCGGCGGCTCTGCCTCCCGGGAAGTGGGGCCCGGCCAAGTCCAACGCGGGGAGGGGGCAGGCCCTCGCCGCCCCGCGCCTGGGGACCCGCCGCCTGTGTCCGGAGGCCGCCGTCCAGCCGATGCACGCGGGGCGGGGGCGGGGGAGAGGCGGGGAGGAGAAAACCCACAACAAAACTTGCGTCGCCGAGCGCACGGCTCGACTCGAATGGAAGGAGCCCGCGCCCGCGGAGCGCAGCCGAGACTCGGGAGAGCGCGGGCGGCCGGCGGGCGAGGCACGGGGCGCAGCAGGTACCGGGAGCGGGCGGCCGGGGGGCCGGGCGAGCTGGGCGGCGGACTCAGACCTCCCCGCCTGGTGCCGGTGTCCCCCGCAGCCGCCCGGGGCAGGGCCGCCGCAGGGCGCCCCCTCAGTCGCAGCCCTGCCCCGGGGGCGCGGCTGCAGGGCTCTCCCTCGGGGGTGCGGCCCCCAGGCGATCGGGACCGGCAGGGGCCTTTTCTCCTCTCTGGCCGGAGGCTGGTTCCAGCCCCCGGGCCCCTCCCGCTGCGCACATCTGGAAAGAATCTGAGGGCGGATGGGAGGGGGGAGTGGAAGGACGCGGGCGGGCGACAGGGAATGTGGGGGGCAGGTGGAACTGGGGAGGCGCGTGGATCCCTGTACTTGGAGCCCGGGCGCAGAGAATGCCCGTGTCTTTCCACGTCAGCTCTCCCCAGTTAGTCCGCCCTTCGACCTCTTTGCGGACGGAGAAACTGTGGCCAAGAGAGAGGCAGAGCTCTGCCGCGGGGCGCGCGGACAGGTGAGGCGGGGCCCGCGCGTCCACCGCCCAACCCGCTCGGGGCTCGGCTCCCCGGCCCAGCGCCGCGCACACTGGGCCAGAGCTCTCAGCTGGCGGCCAGGTGTCCGTCTATCTGTCTACGCGGCTGCCTCCCCGCTGGGACAGCTGAACTGGGGAAGGGGCGGCAGTGGGGGCCGCGAGGTCGTCGCCTTCCCGCTAATGCGGCGGAAGCCCCAGGGTGCAGGTCCCTGAACAGCCAGCCCAGCCTGGGGCGGGGGACCAGATCGTGGCGTCGGAATACCTGATGCGCCGTCAGGTGGAAGAGGAGGTGGCGGCGGCGGCAAGCTCCTGGCGGCCTCCGGGGCTGGGGGGCGGGGGTGGGAGGCAGGTGCAGCTGGAACTGCAGGAGAGGAGCAGGCACCAGCGTGCGTGCGGCGCGGACCGTTCCGTCCGGGAGGCGCAGAGGGATGCGCGCCCGGCTCCTGGAGTGCATCACGGCACTATTCAGGCCCACGCACCCCGAGTGCTGCCCTTGGACTCCGGGCCGGCCAGGCAAAGGGAAGCTATGGTCCACCCGGCTAGAAGAGGCACCGCTGGTGTGAACCAGGAGAGCCCCTGGGTGGTCTTGTCCCCTTTTAGGGCTCAGGGCCCAGTACTCTAGCCTAGAGTGCAAGAAATGTCAGATTCACATGAGTGTTTTCATGAGATCTTGTGGGAGCATACTTTGTCTCTTCTGTCTGAATCTTGGGGAGGGCGTGACTGATTGTGGCACCTTTAGAGAGTCATATATAAGAGTCGGGTAGAGTCATATATAAGAGCTCTAACCATGATCTGCCTGGAACCCTCAATGGCTCCTTATCATCAACTCCTTAGGGTAGTAGCTAATGCCCTTGGGGACTTGGACTTGCATCCCCTGGCTGCCCTTCCTTAAACACACCTCTTGCTTCCTTCATCCTCACACTGTGCCTTTGCTCATGCCCTCTCTCTGCCTGGAGTGCCTTTCCTCCCCTTGGTCCACCTGGAGAACTCCTACTCAGCCTTCAAGACCAGCTCAAGGCTCTGGGTAAGAGTCAGAAGACACAAATTCTAGTGCTGGCCTCACCCTTCAATGCTAATCTGTAAACTGAGGGAGTCTGACCAGATAATGTTGCAGATCTTTTCCAACTCTGCCGTTCACAAGTTCATCCCTTCATTTCCTGAGCACCCAGTCCTTGCCTGGGGAGTCAGGGAAGGCTCCGCTGAGCCTTGAAGGGTGCAGTGGGCCAGGGGTGCTGTGGGAGCACGAGGAACTCCCGAACCCAGCCAAGGGGCAGCAGCAGCTCGAGGAGCAGAGGCGTCTGGGGAGGAGTTGGCCGGGGATGGGCAGCAGTGGGAGCCCCTTCGCGCCTGAGTTTCCTCCTCTGCAGAATGGGAGACTGACTCTCGTCTTGAGATTTCTGTTAGAGTCAGTAACGTGCAGCTGTTCGGGGCGCAGCATGGAGCAGGTGATTAGCAGATTTTTACTGAATTTGAGTGGAGGAGGAGGAAAGTGCTGGGGGCTGAAGATCAGCCTCCTGATTTGAGTCTCCCTTCCTTCCTTCTAGTCCTGCCGAAAGCCCTTCAGGGCCTTGAGGTTTGGTTCCCTGGCGTGGGGGCCAGGAGGCAGTGGGTCCCGGGTACTGCCTGAATAACAGTAACCCCGTGTATGTCACATGTGCTGGCTGGCAGCATCAGTGAGGCACGCCATTTCGCTTTATCATCGTGAGAAGCTCCCATCTCCATTGCTTGGACTAGTGAACAGAGGCTCAGAGCAGTGAAGTGACTCGTCCAGGCTCACACAGCAGTCAGGGTTGTACTTCCCTCACTAAAGCTCTCCACGTGAGGAAGAGCTCACTGCACACAGAGCTGCTCCTCTCGCCCAGCATTTGCTGTCCTCACTTTCGGGCCTTCCAGAGACCAGGGGTCTGCTCTCTCCTCCGTTCTTCCACACACATGGCTGGGCACAGAGAAGGGGACTCGGGTGCTTATCTTGCTCAACATTCTTAGAAGAACAAATAAATTGAGACTCAGATGGGTCAGTGATGTGGCCAAGGTCACACAGCAACTAGATGGAGGAGCCGGAGCTGCCCAGGATCCTGAGGGGGCTGGGCAAGCTGGGAAAAGAGGGACGTGGCACTGGGGCCACCACTCTCCAAGCCTTGTCTGTTCTTCCTCCCTTTCCTGTGGATCCACCTCCTCCTCTCCAACCCTGCAGCCCAGCACCACCTCCTCTGCCCCGACCAGGCCTCTTAGCCCTTGCCCGCACCATTGCACAGCCTCTGAGAGCTCCCACTGGTCCATCCATAAACCTGCCTATTCCACACTCCTGCTCTTCGACAGTTCCTCATCTCCCCTAAGGTAAGGGTCACTCTCCCTAACCTGGTTTTCAAGTCCCTTCTTGGCCTGGACTTGCGGCCACTACCCACTTGCATCACTCTCAGTCCCCAACCCCCACCAGACACTCTAGTGAGCTTTGTAGAGGTCGCGACATGGGCTCCCTTGCCCCAGGGCCTTTGCACATGCAGAATCTCTTGCTTGTATCACTCTTTCTCTTTTGCCTGATCCTCATCCTTCCTGGCTAGATAAAGCATCACTTCTTCTGGGAAGCCTTCTTGGCCCCAGGCAAGGTTAGGCCTCCTCTGGGCCCCTCTGGACTAGCTTCCCTCCATCACACCTCTGATGACACTGGGATTATAATACTCAATTTACACATAATATATAGACCAGCGCTCTCCAATAGAAATATAATGTGAGCCACAAAGGCAAGCCACATATATAATGGAAAATTTTCTAGAAGCCACATTAAAAATGTATAACAAAACAGGTAAAATTAACGTTAATAATTTATTTAACTCAATATATTCAAAATATTATCATGTAATCAATATAAAAATGAGGTTTTATGAGATTAATATTAATAAGATATTTTACATTCTTTTTGGTACAAAGTCTTTAAAATCCACGTACACTACAGTTTACACTTACAGCACCTCTCAGTTTAGACTAGCCACATTGCAAGTGTTCAGTAGCCACGTGTGGCCACCGCATTAGACAGTGCAGGTGTGAGCTTCTTAAGGGCAGGAGCCCTGGTGGTCTGTTGGGTCCTCAGTGTCCGGCTGTGCTTGGCCCTGGGGTGGGCCCCACAGCATTGTGGTTAAGCCTGAGCCGGGAGCTCGGCTTTGCTGCTTCACAGCTGTTAAGCGGGATTGGCCAGGCCCACTAGGGCCTCAGCTGCTTCATCTATAAAGTGGCAATGATGATATTTTCAATATGGTTTATAATGTTAATATAAATTATTTTTACAGATACAGTTTACAGATCTTTACAGATACAAAACTGAAGGTGAGGGAGAAAAAACAACCAGGCAGTGAGTGCACAGGATATGCGGGGAGGACCCTTCTCCCTGGCCTCCTGCCCTGAATTTGGGGCCTGGGCCTGGGCCTGGGCCTACACTCCGCCTCCCAGAGTCCCGATCTGGGAGGGGTCAGACAGAAGGTGGGGCGGGGGCTCTGGTCTAACGCTGGAGGCCCCAGGGGCTGCAGGCTGCTGAGCTGCCTGGGGGGTCATAATGTGCCATAGACTGGCTGAGGGTTTATTGCCCACTTGGTCAGTGGATGGGGGGCGGCAGGGTAGGGGGCTTAGGGCCAGGCTGCAGGCTCCATCTCCCACTGCTGCTCACGGCTCCCTGGAGCCAGAGCCGTTTGTGTGCTGGGCTCTCTGGTGCTCTGCCAGGCGGGTGCCGGGGCCCCAGGCTGCCTAGGCCTGCAGACCTATAGGGTGAAGCCAGCCTGACTGCTGGCCCTCTTCTCTCCCCTCTGCTTTCCCCTTTCCCTTTGGGGCCCCGTGCTCCTCGGGACCCCTTTTACAGGGCTCACCCAGTCTAGGGGGCAGAGGTTACTGTACTGGGGTCTGCCGGCCCCTCCAGACTGACGGCAGGGATCTTCCCCACCTCACCTGTATCCCCCTGTGCCCAGCACAGGGCCAGGGGCAGATGGGGCCTCACCTCGGAGAGCTGGCTGAGCCAAGGAGCAAAGCAAAGTGGTGTGAAATGCCACAGCAGACATCCACAGGAGGCTGGAGTCTACACAGCTCCTGGGAGGAGGCGAGCCTGGGGCTGGAGCGAAAAGCACAGCAGGATCCAGTCAAGGGCGGGGGAAGAAGCAGGGGGTCTGGAGCGGGCAGGGCTGTGGCTGGGACGTGAGCAATGCCCACCAATCAGAGATTAGGAGGAGCTGACACTTACTGAGCACTTACTGTGTGCAGTACGTGCATCCCACTGACTCTCAGTCTCCCCGTTAGGACGGCTCTGTTACCACCCCAGGGACAGGTGAGGAAGCTGAGGTTTAGAAGGTCACAAAACTTGCCCAAAGCCACACAGCTGGAAGCCAGAGCTGCCTGCCTAACCAGACCTCAGTGCCATCGTTGGGCTCCCGGTTTACCCAGCCTCCCAGGCCCCGCGTCTTGTGAGACCCTGCTAACGGCTCTGCAGGTTTTGTCCCCAATGTAATGGAGGGAGAGGCTCAGACTGAGGAGCGGGCGTGCCGGGCCTGGCCCTGGCTGGGCACCTGCGTTCCTGATGGCGGCAGTGACAGTGGCAGTTCGTCACCTAACAGCACCAGGTGCTTTGCATCTGTCATCTTGCTGGCTCTTCACAGAAGCTGAGTTTAGACATATTATCTGTGTTGTAAGATGAGGAAACTGAGGCTCAGCGAGGTCAGAGCCACTAAGTGGTGGAGGAGGACTCGAACAGGGGTCTATGGGACTCCAGAGTCAGTGCACCTGACCTATTGCCTGTCACAAGTTATCGCCCACAGAGACATTTTCTAAGTGAGTCCCTGTAAAGAGAACTCCAGGGACCAGCCTGAGCCAAGCTAGGCCCATGGGCTGTGGGATGATGGAACTCCAGCATCTTCCTCAATGGCCTGAGGCCACCCCCATACCTCCTGTCTCTACTGCCCCAGGGACCATGCTAGGGAGTGGTCTCCTGCAGGTGGCAGGGGTCATGTGAACACAGCAGGGCCTGGCGAGGGCAGCTGAGGGTGTGAACACCAGGAGGGTGACTTGGGAGGTCCTGGGGTGGCAGCAGCTCCATTCACTGATGCCAGACACAGAGAGTGGCTCACAGCCCCATGTGGGAGAACGACACCTTCACGTATTCCCAACCCAACCCAACCCATGCCAAGCCTGGGGGAACATAGTGACGGAGGGCCCTGGGGCATTTGAGTCTTCCCAGGGGACGCAACGCTGGAGTTGGTTCTTAGAGAAGCTGCTGATTGCACAAGAGAGAGGGAGGGCATTCCAGGGAGAAGGAACAGCATGTGCAAAGGCCTCGAGTGAGAAACCACTAAACAGACCCGTATAACTGGGGCAGGGGGCTGGGGGAGTTGGAAGAGAGGCAGGCCAAGTGCTGAAGATCCTGGAATGACGAGCTGAAGAGCTGGGACGCACCCTGCTGGTGCTGGCCCGCCATGGCCTGTGGCTGCTCACAGCACTGCCTGTCTCCAGGCAGCGGGAGCTCAGCAACGTCCAGGCCAAGCCTTGCCAGTCACAGTTCTTCCTGGGCCTCAGCTTTCCCTTCTGTGAAGTGGGGCACAGATTCCTGGGGGCCGGGCCTGGTAAGGGCTGTGGGAGGTTCCGCAGACCTGCCTGCAGATAGGGCTTCAGCTTACCCAACCCCTGCTCCAGGGGGGGCAGCCCTGACGGGGTGGTGCAAGGGAAGGAGGGCTCAGCAGAGCAGGTAGTGCTGAAGACAGGGTCAGAATGGGCTCTGCCTTGTGCCGGGGGCCCACTCTGGCTTCCATGAGCCCCAGCCTTGTCCCACTGTGCCTGACAGGTGAGGTCGCTGGCGCGAAGGCGGGCTGCCTCGGCCCGCAGGCACCATGGTGCGGAGCAGGGCACTGCTGCTCCTGCTGCTGCTGCCCCCGCAGCTGCAGCTGGGCCCTGGGCTGGCAGTGAGGGCCCCCGTGTTTGGACGAAGTGACGCCCACAGCCGGAGCCCTGAAGAGAACGAGTTCGCGGAGGAGGAGCCGGTGCTGGTCCTGAGCCCCGAGGAGCCGGGGCCTGGCCCAGCCACCATCGACTGCCCCCGGGACTGCGCCTGCTCCCAGGAGGGTGTTGTAGACTGTGGCGGCATCGACCTGCGCGAGTTCCCCGGGGACCTGCCGGAGCACACCAACCACCTGTCCCTGCAGGTGAGGCGGCTGCGCGACGGTCGCTGGGGCTGCCCGTGCGCTCGTGGTCCCAGCCCAGGAGCCCCCGTACTCATGGCTGCTTACCCCAAATGCAGGTCAGCTGCGGGGTCTGGCCCCGGCAGGTGCACCCCTGGTGTCCGTCACAGAGCCCCGGGTCCTGTCACCCGCTCCCTTTCCCTCGGAGGCGTCTGGGCCGAGGCCGTGGGTGGAGTCAGGTCCCGTCTGAAAATGACACAGCCCAGCAGTGTACCCTCCGAGTGGACAGTCAGGGCCTCAGACACCATCACAGGCCAGGAGAGGAGGAGCAAAGTGACCCCAATACAGGGCTCGGGGGCTCTCCCCAGCTGAGGCACAGGCTAGATTTGGGAACCTCGGGAAGCAGACACGGCTTTCCAGATGGGGGGCTCTGGGAGCACAGGTGCACCCACCATCACCCTCATGCTGCCCAGGCCCAGTAGCCCTGGGGGAGGGGAGGGGCTGCTACACCCATTTCCAGGGGAGGTCAGGCCCAGGGGAGGAAAGGGACCCGCCCATGGTCACACAACCCTGTGGGTCTGGGCTGGCAGTGGTGGGAACCCAAGTCCGGGGGAGCCTATGAGGGAAAAGGACAAGCTCAAGACAGCACTTGTTTCATTTGCTCATCAGCTGTTCATAAAGCATCTCCAGAGTACCTGCCCTAACCCCTGGCCTGGGTGGGGTGCCAGGCACGTGGGAGGATTCAGACATGCCCTGCCCTTGAGGCCTCACAGTCTGTGGGGGAGGCAGAGACAACCTGGTAGAGAGAACAGATAGAGATAGGAGGACTAGTGCTATGAGGCCTGGAGCACCTCCTAATCCAGCCCCCGATCCAGGAAGGCTTCTGGAGGAGGCGGCACCTGACGCAGGTTTTTAAAGCATCCCAAGGGGAGTGGGGAGGGTGGTGTGGGGATGCCTGTCACCAAGTGGGAACACGCAGGGAACAGGTCTGGAGGGGAGATGGCCCTCCACGGGTTAACTGCCCAGATGCCTGTGGGTGTGTTTCTGTGGTGGGGGGCTCCTAGAAGGCAGGACCCTCACGTCTGTTGTGGTCACTGCTGTGCCTCCAGCGCACAGATCCAGGCCTGGCTCAGAGCCAGCACCCAGGCTCTGCCCACCAGGGGAGAGAATCCCAAGGATGGTGCCCAACAGAGGGACCAGCTCCCGGGACTGGGGCTGAGGGTGGGGTGGGGCTCTCGTGGGGCAGGAGCCCTGTGCACCTCCCCTCCCCCACGCCGCCTCCCCACCCCACAGAACAACCAGCTGGAGCAGATCTACCCCGAGGAGCTCTCCCGGCTGCACCGGCTGGAGACGCTGAACCTCCAGAACAACCGTCTGACTTCCCGAGGTGAGGGGCCCCGGAGCCCAGGACAGGACGGGATGCTAGGCGGGGCCCCGGGTGCCCCTGGGGGAGCCCCACCCTGCAGACCCTGGGATGCGGAAAAGAGGAGGGCTGGGCTGGCAGGGGGGCCTGAGGCCTGGGGCGGAGCGGGGAGGGGCTCAGACACCTTGTCACAGACTCTTCAGCTCGCAGAGGCCTTTAGGATCAGAGTCCTCAAATTTTAAAAAGTTATTTTTTCTAATGATGAAAATAATTTATGATTATAATAGAAAATCTGGAAATATAGAAAATAAAATGGGGAAGAAAAAACCCACTCATAATTCTGCCACTTGGAGTTCATCCCTACTGACATTTGGGTATATTTCTTTCCATTCTTTTGAAAAGCAGCTTCATTGAGGTATAATTTGTATACCATAAGATTCGCCCAGTTTGATGAGTTCTAGTAAGTGTATACAACTGGACAGCCACCACCACACCCAACCCAGTCTTTTTCTTCTGTGTCTTCTGGTTCGTAGCTGAACTTAGATATTGGATATGGATATTATCACTATAGCAAGTGCTTTGTTTCTAACCGCTCAGCAGCGTTTCTCTTGTTGCTGAGAACTCTGGGTGGCCCTCATTGCACACAGTGGCGGCAGAGCGTCCCGTGGAGGGACACTGCCCAGTTTACGTAACTGTTCCCTCTCGTTAGATACTTGGGCAAGTCCCAGCATCTGAGGGTCTGGGAGCCTCAGGACTGGAGAAGGGCCAGCCTGGCTCAGCTCCCAGTGACAGTCGCGTCCTGACGCTACATCTGCCAGATGGAGCAGGGGTTGGCCAGGTGGTGGGGAGGCTCAGGGGCCACAGGCCTGTCCTGCCAGGGGGCCAGGTATAAAGAGGGTCTCTGGCCCTCTGGGCTGCCCCTGAGGCGAGTACTCCTTCCTGGCAGGGAAGGGTCAGGCTGGGGCCTCTGCCCCATGGCTGTCTTGTGGGGACCCATTCCTGCCCAGGCGGCCCTGAGCAGGTGCAGGATCAGTCATCGCTCAGCAAACACATCCCAGCTGCTCCTCTGAGCTTGGGCCCCTGTGAGCAAGGGGAAGGCTGGGGGCCCAGGCAGGCCTGAGGGGACTGGCTAGGAAGGGATCGGAGTGGCTCTTGTCACAGGGTGCGCCCTCCCAGTCCTGGCAAGTGGGGCGGCATGGGGGTCAGAGGTGGTGTGCTCCCCTGTAGCGTCTCCTTCATCCAGGGCTCTGACCGATGCCTGTCCTTTGAAGGGCTCCCAGAGGAGGCGTTTGAGCATCTGACCAACCTCAATTACCTGTACCTGGCCAATAACAAGGTGAGGGCCCACGGCAGGGTGGGGCTGTGCTGCCCCAGCCCCCAATGTCGGGGACTGAGCTCAGGGAGCTTTCACCAGGGCCTCTGCTGGGCTGGCTGCTGGGTCCCCATTACTACTCAGACGTGGCCCTGGGAGGACAGACCCAGACCCTTCACTGGAACCCAGGGCATCAGAGTGGTCAGATAATGAGGACAGAGGCCACGGCCTTCGGGAGTATAAGAGAGAGAGAGCTCGTCCCCACAGGGATGGGGCACTTTAGGGCTTCCTGGAGGAGGTGGCATTTGAGCAGGGCCATGAAGGGTAGCAGGATTTCAGGCAGGGGCCCCGAGGGGGAGGGCACTGCCGTGGAAGGGACAGTGTGAGAAAAGGCACAAGGCGTTCAACCTCAAAATACTGGTGTGCCCCAGGGCTCTGTCCCAGCCCTTCTTGCTGAACTCTCTCAAGGGCCACACCGCCCCCCCCAAGCTTTGACGCCCATCCACATCAAGGCCATCACGGCCACATCCAGGGGCAGTCTCCAGCCCTCCGAGACTCAAAGATCTGCTGCCTCCTCGACGTCTGCCCTGGATGTCTGATGGAAGGTCTCCAACGACCTGCAGCCCCACTGGTCTGCGCCCAGATCCGGGAGTGCCTCACTCACCACATCCAGTCTCACGGCAGGCCTGAGCTCCCCCGCACAGGTCCGCCGTCCCCCACCCGGACGCCTCTGCCTCCTCCTTTGCTGCCGCTTCTCCTCGGAGCATCCAGGGTGACCTTTAAAAATCACTTCTACCCTTATATCCCTTCGGCCCACTTAAAACCCTCTCACGCCTTCACCTTCCACCCAGAATGAGAGCCACACTTCTCTGTGGCCCCCAAGGCCCATGGTCTAGGGTGCCTGCCTCTCTTAACTCATCTCCCCACTCGCTCGCTCCCACTCCACTCCGGCCCTCACACTCCCAGCAGCCCCCACGCAGGGCCTGCACTCGCTGTTCCTGCTGCCAAGGATGCTGTCCCCTCAGATGGCATTTATGGGGCCATCATCTGTGAAGGTCATTGCAGGTGACCTGCAGTGTCACCTGTTCCCTGAGCGCCTGACCCGTCACTCTCTGTCTCAGCCTGTCTGAGTCCCCTGCATCACAGTGATCACTGTCGGATACTGTCCTTGTTCATTGTCTTCTCCACAAGGATGTGAGCTTTTGGGGGGCAGGAACTTCTCTGCCTCGTTCCCCGGGACATGCCCAGAGAGCTCCTGGAACCGTGCCTGGAATGTTGTGGACTCAGTGGATCCCGTTGAATGAATGAAGGGTGGACTCTGTGGGCTGTGTCTGAGGAAGCGTGGTGCTCACTGTGGCCGGACAGAGGCCGTGTGGGGGAGCAATGAGGGGAGAGACCAGGAGGACAGGCCGGGCAGGGGACAGGCCAGAGGACTTTGCATGCCATGCTCAGGGTTGTGGGGGAGCCGTAGAGGTTCTGTTTCTGTGTAACCAGGGCAGTGGATGGGTTTCCGTTTTAGACAGATAGCTCTGGCTCCAGGGGGAGAAAAGTTGAAGGGGCCCAGGTGAGCAGCAGGCAGGGGGGCCCTGAGCTGGCCTCTGCCCCTCCATGGGCCTTTCTGCCCCAACTCTTCCCTTTCCAGCTGACCTTGGCACCCCGATTCCTGCCAAACACCCTGATCAGTGTGGACTTCGCTGCCAACTATCTCACCAAGATCTATGGGCTCACCTTTGGCCAGAAGCCAAACTTGAGGTCAGAGGTCAGAGGGGGCCCTGGGCTCAGGTTGCGGAAGGGGGAGGAGCTGAGGCAGAGACTGCCTGCCCTGAGCAAGGCAGAGAGGACCCAGACGTGCCCTGGAGGAGGGGCGTGCTGTGTAGTGCGGGCTCAAAGCCCCTTGTTCACGGCTGTGGTAAGGGACGCCCAGGGGCTTCAGGCTCACTGGATCTGAAGGCTGAGACCTAAAAGATGAGGAAGAATCAGTCCAGGGAGCAAGGACAGAAGGCGATGTCTGCGGAACTGTGGGGAGCTGGGTGAGGGCGTTTGCCCCCTCCCCAGCCCCTGGGGGAAGGAAGCATCTTCCAACAGGCAGACCAGTCCCTCACTGAGAGCCACTCTGGGAGGAGTGCCACCCCACAGCACAGGTGGCTGAGCGGGGCAGGGTGGTGCTGGGGGCTCTGGCGCCACTTCTGTCCCTGAATCTGTCACCTCTCTCAATTCTCTCCACCCTCCCTGGGGAGCCAGGGTCACTGTGCATGGTCCCATCCCACAGATGAGAAGGCTAAGGCCCAAGAGAGGCCATACAGCAAGAATGAGCTCTATCTTCAATGGATTTCTCTCGTTCCTGTCTTCTCTTCCTCTAGGATGTCAGCTCCCTGAGGGCAGGGCCTTGTTGGTGTGTCCACTGCCATATCTTCAGAGGCTAGAGCAGTCCTAGCACGGAGGGCACTCAGTACATATTTGCTGAATGAATGAGGGGTCACCTCCTCTGAGCCATGCCCTGTGCTGAGCACCGGGGACAAAGAGGCGGCAGGGACAGTCCCCATCTTCAGGAAGTCCCACAGAACTCAGCGCCGGCTGTGTGGGGTTGACAGGCAGGGACTACAGGCTGCAACAGTCAGGGAATGACTGGGGACCTTGGAGGATATGGAGGAGCACGGGCTGGGGGTCAGGAAATTCTATTTCTGCCACTGACTTGTGGGGCAACCTCTGGTGGGTCCTTGGTCCCCTTGGCTGCTATCAGGGACTGGATTAGGCAGGTCTGAGTTTCTTCAAATGGGACCAGGGCTTCCTGGGCCCCAGGCCCAACCTGAGCAAGGTTTAAAGACTCACCAGGTGAGCTGGTGCGGGGGTGGGTGGGAGGTGGCTTGGGTGGGTGAGGACCTGCACCTCGTTCCCCAGGTCTGTGTACCTGCACAACAACAAGCTGGCGGACGCCGGGCTGCCGGACAACATGTTCAACGGCTCCAGCAACGTCGAGATCCTTATTCTGTCCAGCAACTTCTTGCGCCATGTGCCCAAGCACCTGCCGCCTGCCCTCTACAAGCTGCATCTCAAGGTGGGAGGGAGAGAGCAAGAAGGGGCTCCCAAACAGCAGGGACCCTCAGTGGGGGAAGAGCCCAGGCCCACGTGGGCACCGTGGTGAGGCTGGGAGGCCTGGGGCACATGCTGGAGGGCACAGCGTCTGCTGCGGAGAAGCAGGCAGAAGCCTGGGCACCTGGCCATCAGACCCACACCCAGAGTGCTCCAGGCCTGGGCCCCTGCCCCAGGCTCCCCCAGACCTCATCCCCAGGCTCTGCCCCTGCCCTTGGCTGTCCCTCATGCTCCCCTCCCCACCATACCACCTTCCAGAACAACAAGCTGGAGAAGATCCCACCAGGTGCCTTCAGCGAGCTGAGCAGCCTGCGTGAGCTGTACCTGCAGAACAACTACCTGACAGACGAGGGCCTGGATAACGAGACCTTCTGGTGAGCCCCCACCTGGCCCGCAGGGTGAGCACGGCACCTGGGACGCTCCCCTCAGGGCCCACCCAGCAGGCCTCCTTGCACATATCCCTCGCCAGCCTGGCCCTGGTCAGCTTCTCTGGAGAAGGAACTTGGAGGATTGTGCCTCTGCTGGCATTTCTGTCCCCAAGAATAAGAGCTATGTATAGAGCAGGTCTGCCAAACTTCTAGTGTACAAGACAGAATTCTTGGTACAAGATAGAAATTTAAGCATTCTTGTTGAAGGCAAATATATTTTCATTTTTTAGGACCAACAGTAGCCTCAAAAGGCCTTAGTTAAACAACTGGTCTCAAATGAACCCCTAGGTGTCGGAAACCATGCTAGCTCTTTCCTACACCAATATATCATTGAATCAACCCAATGAGAGGCTTGGAGAGGGTCGAGGTCCCCCAGTCAGTTAGTGGCAGAGCTGGGATGAATTAGAGGCAGTGCCCCTGCCACCTCCCTTGGGAATAATGGTGGAAATGAGCGCCAGGTGGGCTCCTGCCAACGGCCTTAACCCCCGCGCCCCCCAGGAAGCTCTCCAGCCTGGAGTACCTGGATCTGTCCAGCAACAACCTGTCGCGGGTGCCAGCGGGGCTGCCGCGCAGCCTGGTGCTGCTGCACCTGGAGAAGAACGCCATTCAGAGCGTGGACGCGGACGTACTGACCCCCATCCGCAGCCTGGAGTACCTGCTGCTGCACAGCAACCAGCTGCACGCACACGGTATCCACCCGCGGGCCTTCCAGGGCCTCAAGCGGCTGCACACGGTGCACCTGTACAACAACGCGCTGGAGCGCGTGCCCAGCGGCCTGCCCCGCCGCGTGCGCACCCTCATGATTCTGCACAATCAGATCACCGGCATCGGCCGCGACGACTTCGCCACTACCTACTTCCTGGAGGAGCTCAACCTCAGCTACAACCGCATCACCAGCCCGCAGATGCACCGCGACGCCTTCCGCAAGCTGCGCCTGCTGCGCTCGCTGGACCTGTCCGGCAACCGGCTGCACACGCTGCCGCCGGGGCTGCCGCGCAACGTGCACGTGCTGAAGGTCAAGCGCAACGAGCTGGCTGCCCTGGCGCGCGGGGCGCTGGCCGGCATGGCCCAGCTGCGGGAGCTCTACCTCACCGGCAACCGGCTGCGCAGCCGGGCCCTGGGGCCCCGCGCCTGGGCCGACCTGGCCGGGCTGCAGGTAAGCGGGAGGGGCGGAGGCAGGGCCATGCCCGTGGGGGCGCGCTGCTGGTGTGGCTACCCTGAGCCTACCCATCTGCTGGGCCCGGGTGAGGGGTGGGCAGGAGAGTTGGGCCCTGAGGGAGGTACCCGCTAGGGAGGCTGGGCCTTAGGGGAGGAAGGCCTGGGCCATGCAGAGGGTATGGCTGGCATGCCAGGGTACAGGAGTGAGGGGCAGAGTACAGTTGGTGTGGCCAGGCCAAGCTCACACATGCAGGTACAGGCTTGAGGAGGGCTGTGGGGATACGGGGAGGTCATGGCTGCAGGTAGTGGGGCCCACGGTTCAGGAGGACTGGGGGTCAAGGGCAGTTCAGGTGGCATGAGCTAGTCCAGCTCACTCACCTGCAGGCACAGGAGTAGGGGCCTGGAGAAGGCTGGGCTTGGGGAGGGGAGGGGAGGCAGCCACCCTCAGCAGCCTGTGGAGGAGACATCTGGGGGCTGGTCAGAGTGTGGTTGATGCGGCCACAGGCAGGGTCAGGTGGGATACCTGGCCATAGGAATCTAGCCTTTTTGCTTACAAGTGAGACCTTCCAACTCAGAGAGGGACTGAAAGGGCACTTTACTAGAGAAACCTGGGGGTCAGGGCTGAGCTGCGAGGTCAGGGATGCTCCCTACCAGGCCTGTCTCCCCAGATATTCTCAGGGCTTGCTCCTCCCGCCTTCTCAGGGCTCTGCTCAGATGTCACCTGCCTCTGCTCGGTTTTTCTTCATAACTCTCCTCCCTGGGGCATTAGGTCATCTGCTTGTGTGCAGCCCCCTCTTCCCATAGAAGGAGGGCAGGCATTTTGGAAAGTTGTGTTCACCGCTGGCCCCAGGGCCCTGGCATGGTGGGCTCACAGTACATGCTTGTGGGGGCAGCTGTCAGGATGGGATGTCTGAGTGGAGTGCAGAGGAGAGGCCCAGAGCAGGGCAGGGTGAGGGTGGGGGATGCGGGCAGAGCACTGAGGGTGGAGCCTGTGGGAATCGGGGAGGCAGCTGGCCCTGCAGGAACAGCCGTCAGCTGTTAGCTGGGTCTCTCCTCACCCAGAAGCCCTGCCTGGTGCCAGACACCAGGGTCCAAGCCCCGTGCCCACCCCTCGTGGGTATCCCTCAGGGACCTGTGCTCCAGGGACTCCAGCCCCTCTGTCTTCTCCTCCACACCTGCTCCTCCTGCTGCATTTCCTAACTTGCTGAAGGGGGCGACATCCACCCAGGTGCCCTCAGGACATCTGGACACTGCCCTTGACATCCCTTTCTCGAGCTGTCTACCCCGCAAGGCCCGTTGTTCCTAAACCCTACCCATTCTACCATCGCATCTCTCAATCTGTCTGCATCTCTCCATGCCGACTGTCCATCACCCCAAGCCAAGTCACCCCTATTTCTTGCCTGGATCCCAGCTTCCTAGGCGCTCTCCACTCCTGTACTCCTTATGCAGTTGGAGGGTGTCTTGAAAAACACATGCTCACCTTACGCTCCTGCCCAGAACCCTCCCGTGGCTCCCCATTGCCCTTAGAACCCAGACCAGAATCCTTGCCACGGCCTCCAAGGCCTGCTCTGCTCCTGCTCCCAGCTGGGCTTCTGTTTCCCAGATGCACCAGGCTTTGCTCATACCAGCCCCTCTGCTGGCAGGACCTTCTCCACTCTGTTGACACCTGCCACTCATTCATTCCACAAGCCTGTACTGAGCCCCCGCCCTGTGCCAGACACAGTTCTAGAACTGAGGACTAAGTGGGGAATAAGACAGGTGGAGGAGGTTCACCACCGTCCTGGGGCTTTTACTTAGGACTCAGCAATGGTGTTACCTCCTCAGAGAAGCCACCAGTGATGGGCAGCTTAGACACCTTCCTGGGCCTGCATGAGTTCAGTCAGGGATGGGGTGTCTGGTGGTGGAGGGAGTTCTTCCTCTCACTGCTGGATCTTTCTACAGGCAGCGGCTCCTGCTGCTTTAGAGCCCCCACCTGTGCTGACTGCTGTCTGCTCCCCTGACCTGAGGCTGGGTTGGCCCCCTCCCCTGCCGGAGCTTCGTCATCGTAGCCCCATTCCACCAGCTGTCATTGTCAGATCTGGTGTTCATCTCCCCTGCCAGCCTGGCTTCCTGAGGGTGGAGGCAGCATCTCAGTGGATTCCATGTCCCTGCCACCTGTGGGCACTGAGAAAGTTTGGAATGAATGAGAATGTGCTGGAGCTGTGTGGAGGGGACACAGTGGGGAGCAGGGAGCCCCACTGTCTAGGGGAAGTGATGGGGAGGCTCCCCAAGGTGCGTGAAGCTTGTGTTCCCCTTGATTCTTGACGCCACCTGCCTGGCTCTCTGGATTCACGTCCCCCAGTTTCCTGACGGTGAGCCCCAGCTTTTGGGGTAAGGAAGGGAGCTTAGAGATGGCGGAGTCCCACTGTGGCTGCACAGGTGTGTGTTGGCGTGAGGGTGTGCTGATGGCCTGAGGGGCAGTGAGCAGGGCCACGCGAGTCCAGGTCTCCTGCCCACAGCAGGTTTGTTCTCCTCCCTGGGAATCCCACCCCCTTTTCTCTGGCTGCCTGCCTCCTGGACTCTAGACATGTGATGACCCTGAGACTGACCAGCCTGGGGCGGCTGCCATGCCAGGGTCGCTGTGGGCCTGGCACCCTTGCTCCTGGCCCCTGCCCACATGGCCCCTGAGGTCCACAAATGAGCAGCCCCACCCATGCGGCTCCTCACCCCTCTGCTCATTCAGGGCCAGTGGGGCGAAGGGCCCCTGCCCTTCTGGGGCCTTTAGTCTGATGGGGGTGACAGGTGTGTTATGGAGGAAGGACTGTGACACCCAGACGTCTTGGCTGTGAATTTCTGTAGGAACGCAGAAGGAGCTGGGTAGGACATACACAAATTAGAACAAGGGTTTGGAGTCAGGCACACTGAGTTCCAGCCTTGTGCAGGCTGTGTGGCCTTGGACAGACCTCTGAGCCTCTGTTTCCCCCTCTGGAAAATGGGGATAGTTGTAGACCCCGCCTCCCAGGGTTATCGTGAGATTTAGATAGGCTGGGCTTGGTGGGGGCTTTGTAAGCTGTGAAGTGCTTTGACGTCCCTGCTCACCCCTGCAGCTGCTGGACATCGCTGGGAATCAGCTCACAGACGTCCCCGGGGGGCTCCCCGAGTCGCTCGAGTACTTGTACCTGCAGAACAACAAGATCAGCTCCGTGCCCGCCAACGCCTTCGACTCCACACCCAACCTCAAGGGAGTCTTTCTCAGGTAGGAGGGCGCCTGGGGCCCACCCCGGCTCTAGCGGGATCTGAGAGGCACAGGGGAACAGCTGGCTGGTAGAGGTCAGCGTTCAAAGCCAAGTGGCGCACATGGGCATTATTGAAGTTACCATGGCAGGAAGGGACCCCACAGAGCATCTTCCCAGTTTACAGCTGGGAAGGCCGAGGCCCAGAGAGCACAAGTGACTGCTGTGTCCACAGCTGGCTGGACTGGGCCTGGGACTCAGACCCAGGACAGCAGATGTTCAGTCCCTCGCTGGGCTCTGGGGGTTTGTCTCTTGCTCCCTGAGGAGATGAGGAGCTTCCGGACAGCAGAGTCCAGGTGGTTCTTTCCAACATCCCCACCTCCTACCCGCTCAAATCAGAGAGAAGGAGACAGATCAGGGAGAGGCAGAATGCATGCTCCCTGGGCTTCATGGCCTAGAAGGCCCGGGTTGGGCAACATTGGGATGGAGTGTGAGCTGTGCCGCGGCTCCTGCAAGGGACTGAGGTACAGAATGTTGAGGGGGCCTGAGATCCGAGCCCGGCCTCTGCCTTCCCACAACCCAAGAGTGTCCCTGGCCCAGCTCGGTCCTGGCCTTGCCTGCCTGCCACTCTGCACCAGGCACCAAGGTGACTCCCGGCTGGCAGCCCAGGAGCCTCAGGCCTCAGGGTTAATGCCAGAGGGCGGGCTCAGAGCAGTCGTGTGCGCCACTCCCAGATGGTGGTGAGACGGTATGCAGAGGGAGGCCTTCCCCTCCCTGTGTGGATGGGAGGCCCAGGGTCAGCCTTGCCTCCCATGCTGCGGCCACACCGGACGGCTCGGACTCTCCAGGAGATGCTGTGCCACTCAGCCCCTGCCTTTGACGCTTGCTGTGCCATCTTCCTGGAATGCCCATTCCCTCCCCTTTACCTTCTGGGGTGGGTGCATGTGGGGACTCTGAGGGCTGGGCTCCTGGCATTGACCCCACGTGGGTGGCCGCACAGGTTTAACAAGCTGGCCGTGGGCTCTGTGGTGGAGAGCGCCTTCCGGAGGCTGAAGCACCTGCAGGTCTTGGACATAGAAGGCAACTTTGAGTTTGGTGACGTTTCCAAGGACCGGGGCCGGTTGAAGGAGGAAGAGGAAGAGGATGAGGAGGACGAGGAGGATAAGGATGAGGAGGAAGAAGAAAGGCGATAGTGACAGGGTGAACTGGATCTGACATAGGTAGGTGGTCTGTGTGGGGCGCACTCACCTCTCCTCACCAGTTTCCAGTCCCTGACCCCAGTTTAGGTCACCCTCTATCCCCTGCTGCATCGTTCATTTTGCAAACCTATTAGGAGCACTTGGGATGTGCCAGGCCCTAGTGAGAGGTTGGCTGTGACAGCAAGCCTGCGGGAGGCTGGCCCATGCCCCGGGACTCTCTCCAGGGTGATAGTGCTGTGCCGGGACATGCACAATGGCTGGGATGGTGGAAGCGGGGGATGGGTGTGGGCCGGGGGGAGGCTGCTGCTGTGATCAGGGTGACAGGGGCCGACAGTGAGGGTGCAGATGAACAGACGGGCCTGAGAGGGCTCCGGGGCAGACTTGAGGGCCTGAGTAGCCCTGTGGGACATGGAGTGAGGGGAAGACAGGCCAAGCTCCAGCCTGGAGTTCCAGCTGGATGATAATACCAAGAGGAGCAGCTTCGGTGGGGCAATGTTGAGTTTGAGGGGCCTGGAGGCTTCTTGGGGAACTGGCCAGAGGTGGGCTGGATGTATGGGTCTAGAGGTCAGGAGTGAGGTCTGGGCTGGAGATGGATATCCAGGCATTATCAGCCTTGAAACAGCCCCTGAGGCCACAGGAGGCTGGGTGAGCCCTCCCAGGGGGAATGAGTACTCCTGCATGGCCGGGCCACAGGGAGCCTGCAGAGGGGGTGAGATGCAGCAGTCAGGAGGGAGGGAGGAAAGCTGCCGACAGCAGAGGACAGAGGGTGTTTACACATACATGCACCACAAGCACCTGCACACGCACATGAGTGCACCAACACACATGTACCCGTGCTCTCCCACACATGCCTAACCATGCACACACAAAGCATGCACTCACAGAAACCACTGCACATGTGCACACACTCCATGCTGCATTCACAGATGCAGAGCATGTGCACACTTGTGTGCATGCGAGTACATACATGCACACATCCCCATGCACACAGGCCCCGTGCACACAGGGGTACACATCCATGCACAGGCTTCCCCAGAAGGGGGAGAACCAGCTGTGCTAATGCTGCTGAGAGGTGGGTAGAGCTGAGCACTGCCAAGGGCTGACTGGATTTATCCACACAGAGGTCATCTGTGACCTCCTGGGAGCAGCCTCAGGGGCGAGTGGATCTAGGGAGCATAGACAACTCTGTCAAGAAGTTTGGCTGTGGAGAGATGAGAGAGGGTAAGAGCAGGAAGGGGGCATGAAGTTCAGACAGGGCTTGGTTCACATCATGCCCTTTTTAAGGCATGCTGGTGTGGACGCCGATGGGGAGGGGCCAGTGTGGAGGGAGGAGCTAAGGTGTAAGAGAGGAGAGCCGTGTGTAGGATCCCGGTGGAAACAGTAGGAGGGACTGGCTTTGGCAGGAGGGTGAGTGCTCCCTCCACTGTGGCAGGAGGGACGGAGGACAGAGTGGCTGCAGTCACAGGCAGGTTAGTGGCTTGGTGGCTGGACATGAAGTCATGTAAGCCCGATACCTTCAGCCTTCTGTTTCCTCAGTGCAGCAGGGGTGCTCAGCAGACCAGGGTGGGTGTGGAGAAGATGGGCAATTGGATCTATCCATGGCTGGGCTTTTGGCCAGGTGTGTGGGACAGGAGAGCAAGGAACAAGGAAATTGAGTGTATTGGCAAGAGAATGGCTGCAGTGGTGGATCCCGGGGGTCCGGCTTGGAAGAGAAGGAGGTGCAGACAGAAGGAGTCGGTGGGCAGGACCACTGGAAGGGGATGTTGGAGAGTGGGCACGGTGGTGGCAAGTAGCCAGGAGGAGAGGTGTAGGAAGAGGGGATATCCGAGTAAGCTGACCGAGCTGGGGTTACAGAGCCAGGTCACAGAGCTGGTGGCCGTGGGAGGGGCCAATGTTAGGATGTTGAACTGAAGTAGGGCCTGGGGCAGAGAGGATCCTGAAGGGGGTTGAGGATGGGGTGGGTAGGTGGAGAGGGAGTTGGGGAGAGGGGTCCAGCTGATGATAGAGAAGAATGTGCATGGGGACAGCTAGCCGAGTGTGGAGGGCAGCCCAGAGGCCACGCTCAGGGTCACCCTCCTCTACTCTGGGGGCCTGGGGTAAGATGGTAGAGCCCCTTCTTTCGAGGCATTGTCTCAGGCAGAGCCAGGGGTCAGTGTCACGAGTGACTGGCCGTTCAGTGAGGATGCTGTGGCCCTCACGAGGAGAGCTGTAGAGTCCTGGGTTGGGAGAGAGTCTGTCCCCTCTGGAGGACATTGGCCATGGTCAGGTCAGTTGAGCGAGGCCCCAGGAGAGGCCCTCCAGTTCACACCTGGCCTGGCCACATTTCCACAAGCACCTCCCAGAGGGCAGCCCACTGGCTCTGGGCTCCCAGGGGCAACTCCCCTTTCTGCCTGCCATCACCTGGTCCTTCTAGAGCCCCCTCAGGTGGGCCCCCCAGCTCTAATCCACTTCCCCCAGGCTGGTCGGGTTGGGGTCGGCCCTGGCCTCCCCTGACTCTCCCATGTGTTCTACAGGATGATGGACCGCTGGACCCCGTTCTGCAGCACGTGCCTGTGCCCTGTGAGCGCCCACTGTGCCATGCTCACAGACACACCCAGCACTGCACCCACAGGGCCCCCGACACAGCTGAATCCACAGCCTCCCATCCTCAGCCCTCCCTGCAGTGCGTTCCACAGCCAGACACACGCAGACACCACAACACACATACAGCAGCTGCACGTCGCCCCAAGCCCACCACCGCCATCATGCCCTCTGAGTCACACAGACACGGGAAGGGTCGGACCCCACCCTGGCACACATGGGCACCTGCTCCTCCCCTGTGGACACACGTACGTGGGTGCTCGCGCACACACTTATACACACGCACACACACACAAGTCACGTGCAAAGAGCCCTACAAGGCCTATGCCACCGACAGCTCTTGCCCCAGCCAGAACTGACCAGAACAGCTAGCTATCTGTCTGTCTGTCTGTCTGGCTGTCCGTCCATCCCCCGGAGAAGACACAGAGTTCTCTCTGGGCTTTCTGTGGCCAGGTGCCTGCGCCCCCTGGAACTCACAAAAGGTGGCTTTTGTTCCTTTCTCTCTCTTTCGGGACAGGAACCTTCTGGACTGCTGCCCTGGCCCGTCCGCCCTACCCCCAGCTTCTGAGCCAGCCACTCCCTGCCATGCCCCGGGCAAGCCCCCCTGAGGCCACCGCAGAGTCTCCGGGGCAGCTGTGGGCTTTGGGTGGTATGAGTGAGGCGGGGCTGGCTGGGCAAGGAGGAAGGCCCAGCCGCACCAGGGGACGCCTCTTCCACTCTCTGGGCCTGCGGGAACTTCTGGGTGCCTTTGTTTTTTTATTCTTTTTTAAGAAAAACAAAATGATAAAAACTTCAAAGCTGATTTTTCTTGTTACAGAAAAGCTAATATAAAAGCATTACCCCGTCTGGCAGCCCGTGGCCGCGTCTGTGTGTGCTTCCTGCCAGGCGCCAGGCGGGTGCCTGGCTGGGGTGGGCGGGATATAGGCACCTCGTGCCTGTCCAGACCAGCAGGAGTCGGCGCAAAGTTCAGTTCTCGGGGCCCACAAAGCAGTCCCACGGGCAGAGGCCCAGTGACACGGGTTTATTTGCAGCTATGCAGGCCTGGAGACGTGTGTGGCCCATCCACTAGGTGGGGGTCAGCAGGTCAGTCTGGGACTGCCAGCCCGGGCCTGTGAGCTCATCCTGCACTCCCAGAGGCTGAGCATCCAAGCAAAGGGGCTGCCAGCTTCAGGCTGCTCAGGGCTCACCTGTAGGGGCACCTGTGCACTGAGTGGGCATTACCCATGGAGTCTGTCCCATAGAGGACAGCCAGGGTGGGAAGGGCACCAGAGGCAAGCCTGGGAGCTGGAGCAGAGCCGACTTGGGGGCCCAGGTCTCTGCAGGCCTGTCCTAGAAAGAGAAGACAGACGTGCCCAGTGTGCCTACCACCCCAACAGGGCCAGAGCTGGGACCAGGGGCCAGCACCCAGCTCAGAGCAAAGGAGAGCCTCTGGCAGGCAGGGCTGCCCCACAGTGGATGGGATGGCCAGGAAGTCATGGCGCCCCTGCTGCTGGAGGCTTGTGGGCATGCTCCTGTCAAGCCTAGTAGAGCAGATTCCTGCCTGGTGGTGGGGCGGACTCCATGCTCAAAGGCCTCAGGGACGTGACACAGGAAAGGGGCAAGTAAGCCCTTACCTGATGGTGGGAGTGACTGATAGCTTTTCATCTGACCTCTCCTGGCTGATTAGGTCTTAAGAAGGAAGGATGCTCCCATGGTGGAGCCTCAGCCCCTGGCTCTGCGGTGGGAGGGAGATCCTGGGGTCAGGGCCCTTCCTGGACTCCTCAGACTACAGCCCTGGGAGGAGGATGGGCAGTAGTTCAGGAGTCGGGGCTGGGAGGCAGAGGCCCTCCCGATTTTCTGAGTGACCTGGGGAGGTCCATCCTCTCCCCTGTCTTTAATGTCTTCACAGGTTCCATGGTACAAACCCATGGTGCATCTCTCCTCCCCAAAGTGCATATAGCATGAGCTGTGTGGCCTTTCCGTGTCCCCTGCGAGACTCCTGGAGGCACCCTGGGGCTGAAGAGAAAGAGGGGGACAGTCTGGAAATGTCCCCTTCTTAATGCAAAGCATTCACCAAAGAGAGCAGACTGGTTGAGGAAGTTCCTTTTCAAGGGACTGACCTCAGGGCCCTACCTGCAGAACGGGGCCCAGGCTAGGGCAGAGCAGTCTGTCCCCACCGTGGCTGTCGAGATAGGCCCCTGGGCAGGCCCGTTTGCTCTCTGCCTCTTGCAAGTGACAGCTCAGACAGGCCTGTCCCCACACTTTCAGCCCAGACAGACCTGTTTACACTCTTGTTACACGAGCGATCTTGTTTATATTCTGGCCACCTGGACAGGCCTGTGCATACTCTGGCTGCCCAGAAGGCCAGTCTGCCCTGTGACAGCCTTTCTTAGCCCAGTAAAGAAATGCTGGCCAGAGTATGGTCACTAAGCCCACAAGTCTTAAAAAACAAAATACCTTTATTTAGTTATCACTGAATTTGCAAACACAGGAAGGAACAGATATCTAACTCCACTTCATCCCACAGGCTTTTGGGGAGTGCTGACCCCAGGGCCACATGGGCAGCTTGACCACAGTGTCCCAGGCGAGCCTGCCTCCTGGGTCCCGGCTGGCCCACCATCCCGTGGGAGGCTGGGCCCGATGTTTCTAAGGGCCCTGCAACTCCGATGAAGACACCCCTGCCTCCACAGCGATGGGCTGTCGAGAGAACTGGTGGGAGGGGAGGCTGGCCAGCTGTGGCACGTGGAAGGCAGCGGGTCCTGCCTTAGGGCTGGACCTGTCCTTGGGGAGAGCTGTTTGTCTGAGGCCACGTGTTGCAGGGCAGGGTGGGGGCCGGCCCGGGCCAGGACACAGCTGGGGAAGAATCAGGATGTTATGTCTTCAGAAACGGAAAGCAGTGACTGCAGGCCTCCTGGAGAGGGGCAGTCTTTCGGCATCTGGCCCTGCAGGCCCCCTGTCCTCCAGGAGGGAGTGGCCAGGCTCAAAAGACTTGGGTTAGAGTTCTGGCCCTGACAATACTTGCCCTGAGACCTGGGGCGAGTGTTTGTAGCTCTCAGAGCCTCCACTCTGCGATGCAGCAAGTGCGGACCGTAACCCCTGCCTGCCGTCCTCACAAGCCAACCAGAGGACACGGCACAGCCGGGCCTGGACCATGCGGGCCCATCACTCTCCGGCTGGGGCTCCCACATGCGTTTCCCTGCTCTGACTCCATTTTCCTTCCAGTGGGGCTGACTCTTGCCTCCCCAGGGTGGGAAGGACATGTGTGCCTGGCCCCTGTCACTGCTCAGGAAAGTAGTGACTTGAGGTCCCGCCCTCGGCCCTTAACCCTGGAGCCGCGTTGGCCCCACCAGCTCTGCAGGCTCAGACGTTCGTCTCGAGCTCACTGATCTCGATGGTGCAGTGGTCCAGACTGGTGGCAGCTGCCTCCTCGTCCTGCTCCACCTGGACGGGGACATGGTGGGGACAGGCGGGGCCCAGGGTCAGCTCCGAGGCCTCAGCCACACTCTTCACACAGCCGTTCTGCTGTGCCGCCACGATCTCCTGGAGGCTCACCGGCTGGGTCTCACAGGGCGGCAGTTTCTGGGGAGGGAAACAGGCCTTGGTAGCAGCAGGAGGGACTGTGGTTAGACACCAGGGAGGACTGAATGAGCAAAGGGCTGGGAAGCACGTGATTGGTTTTCCTACAGACATGCTGTGGGACCTTGATAGGTCACAGGGCCTCTCTGGGCTCCAGTTCCAAGCTGTCCTGCCTCCCTCAAGACTGTCCTAGTAGAGAAAGGGACCTGACCCACAGGGTCCAGTGAAGGACTTGGTGGCTCCCCTGCCTGGCCTCAGCGTCCTCATGGGGTGGGGCAGCCTGCTCGCCGTGTTTCCTGAAGCAGCCCTGAGGACCGTGCGGCCTGGGCCGACGTCCAGATATGCACATTGTTGCCAGCAGCACCGACAGTACCCACGGCAGGTGCAGGCTCGCTTCTCTTGCTTTGTTCCTCACTGCGCCTCCTGTGCCTGGGCCAGCCACAACCGGCTGGCAGGGGAATCAGTCACCCTGGACCTGACCAGGAGACCAAGGCCCCGAGGCACAGAGGCACGGGCTGAGAGCTGCCCGCTGGGCCATCCCTGCAGATCTGGTGCCCTGCCCCCCGACCCTGCTCCACCCTGCCAGGCCCTTGGGGTGCCGGGCTGGGAGGGAGGCACTGCTCTCACCTCAGTGCCCGCGTCCTGAGCAAAGTCCTTCCGGCAGATGTGGGCCATGATCCCCGCGGCCAGCGCGTCACCCAGCACGTTAATCATGGTGCGGAAGCGGTCCCTAGGGAGCCGAGGGGTTGGTGAGCGTGGGCGCCGGACTAAGGGGGGCTGGAAGGGACAGCGTGGGACAGCTGCCAGGTGGAGCCCACGCAGGGCGCCTGCTGGGTCTGCTCAAGCCCACCCCGCTTGGCGCTGCTGAAGCAGTTGATGCAGGCGGGCTTCGTGGGTGTGTGACCGCAGTGGCACAGGGCCTGTGCTTAGGAGGCCCGGGCTGGCTCTAATGCTCTGCTCTCACCCTCCTGAAATTCCTGACAATTTTTGAGCAAGGGATCCTCCACTTTCGCTTTTGAAAACTAGGCCCCACAAATTATGCTACCAGGCTGGTATTGACGAGTGAGCACCCCCACTGTGCCAACCACTGCTGCTCCCCTGCCTGCCCCCAATGCCTGCCGCCTGCGGGGTGGAGGTGGGGGCGAACCCCACTCACAGAGCCCAGTCGACAGCGATGATGAGGTTGATGTCGTCGGTGGGGAGTCCCACGGAGGTGAGCACGATGACCATGGTGACCAGCCCAGCCTGGGGGATGCCAGCTGCCCCGATGCTGGCCGCGGTGGCTGTGATGCTGCAGGAGGGGCAGGAAGAGGAAAGGAGGAGCATGAGGGGCAGGGCTCGTTGCCCCGGATCCAAGAAGGAGGCCAGAACGCCAGGCCTCTGGGGACTGCCGCATGGAGCAGTGGTTGTTAGGAATGCCACCCCAGGGAGTTCTCAGGGTGGTGGGGCACGTCCCTGCTCAAGGTCCTGCGGTGCCATGGGCCCCCAACCCTGGCCTCAGCAGAACCTCCTGAGAAGTGTGTGGAAAACCCTGTGTCCACAACTGCTGCCACGCCCAGAGATTCTGATCGTCCACTGGCACACCTCTGCCCATACTCCCTCTGGGGCCTGGTCCCCAGGGTCAGACTCATGCCCTCAGCCGGCCTCTGCCTCTCACCCCGGCACCCTTTCCTCAGCTCCACCACATCAGCGGCTCCTTGGCTGTCCCTCATCCTGCCCCTGTCCTCTGCTCCCCTGTGCCCACGTACAGCGCCCTCCCGGCCCTGCGAGTCTGGAATGCAGGCCCTCCTTGGGGCTTCAGCTTCCCAGCCTGCTTGAAGCCCCCTCTCAGCAGGGCAGCCCTGGGGAAGGAGTCCCATGCCCTGAGTCACTGGGGTCAGGACACGTCCCAGCCCCTGCACCGACTTGCTGTGTGGCCTAGAATGAGCCCCTCACCCTCTCTGGGCCTCAAAGACCCCATCAGATTTGGGAGCTCGAGAATCCTGAAGGTTCTTCCAGCACCCGCCCCCCACAATCCATATTGGGCGTGGGGTGTCAGGAGAGCACCTGATGGTGATGATCTGGCCAAAGTCGAGCTCATAGTTGTTGACCTGGGCAATGAAGATGGCCGCCACAGCCTCGTAGAGTGCGGTGCCATCCATGTTGATGGTGGCGCCCACGGGCAGCACAAAGCGGGCAATGCGCCGGTCGATGTGGTTGTTCTCCAGCAGGCACTTGAAGGTGATGGGCAGTGTGGCTGAGCTGTGGGCAGAGGGGCCAGTGTCTGCCCGCCACCCTCATCCCGATGGCCAGGGCCTCTGG